AAGAAATCATTGTCAAAGCCATTTCAGCCATACTGCTGCTGCTACTGAAACACTTCAAACTCAACCACGTCTATCAGGTACACAAACACATTTTTGAAGCTGTTTGTGAGGTGCTTTTCTAGATTTTTGTCATACCCTACATGCAACTCACACAACCCATTTGACATTGGTATTATTATTATATTATACAAAATGTGATTATAGGCCATTTGTAAGCCTTTTAAATAGTGAGGTCTAGCTAATTTTTTGTCAGCTTGCACCATGGTAATGACGATATTTTTGACTATTTGCAAAGTTTTGGGCTTCATAATTATAGTAACAGCTACAAGTAACAAGTTTTCTCCTACAGTTTGAATACATGGCACAGCATCTGGTGTTTGCCAACTGCATCCCGCTGATCCTGAAGTTCTTCAACCAGAACATCATGTCCTACATCACCGCTAAAAACAGGTAAAACTTCAAGTCAACTTTTGTTCATTATGGTGTCATGAACATAAAGATTGCTTTAACCAGTGTTGAATTTTCATGTTATGCTTTATGGGTAATGACATCTGTCATATCGTATCTCTTCGGCAGTATCTCGGCTCTGGATTTCCCGCACTGCGTCGTTCACGAGCTTCCAGAGCTCACCGCTGAGAGTCTGGTGAGAAAAACACACCTCAATGCATCTAATCAGGAATGTTCCCAGAACATTCACTAACATTCTTTAAAAGTTGTGTAAATGTTTGTAAAAACGTTATTAAAATAATGTTTTTGGAACGTTCATATAACGCTATTAACGTTCTTCTAACGTTGAGAGAAAACGTTCCAAGAACATTGTTCTAAGAACATCTTTATGATGTTATTTGTGATCGATGAAAGTTCTCATAACGTTGATAGAAAACGTTCTTAGAACAATGTTCATGGAACATCTTTATGACGTTATTTGTGATTGATGAAAGTTCTCGTAACGTTGATAGAAAACAATCTTAGAACAACCACAAATAACATCATAAAGATGTTCCAAAAACATTGTTCTAAGAACGTTTTCTATCAACGTTATGAGAACTTTCATCGATCACAAATAACGTCATAAAGACGTTTGCTATCAACGTTACGAGAACTTTCATCAATGTTCTTGGAACGTCTTTGTGACGTTATTTGTGATTGATGAACGTTCTCATAACATTGACAAAAACGTTCTTAGAACAATGTTCTTGGAACGTCTTTATGACGTTATTTGTGATTGAACGTTCTCATAACGTTGATAGAAAACGTTCTTAGAACAATGTTCTTGGAACGTCTTTATGACATTTTTGTGATTGATGAAAGTTCTCAGAACCTAACTTTGTTAGCTGGGTGCTCCTCTGAGCTAGCCTTTGAGCTGTTTGATATGTTTCATTACAGGAAGCTGGCGATAATAATCAGTTCTGCTGGAGGAACTTGTTCTCCTGTATTAATCTGTTGCGCATCCTTAATAAACTCACCAAATGGAAGCACTCGAGGACCATGGTGAGACACCACACAAACCAAGAACATCTAATGTAGCTGGAGAGAGCCATTCAGTAGTGGTCAATTCAAATTTTGCGTATTTCTAGATGTTGGTGGTCTTCAAATCGGCTCCCATCCTGAAGAGGGCGCTGAAGGTCAAGCAGGCCATGATGCAGCTCTATGTGCTCAAGCTGCTCAAAGTCCAGACGAAGTATCTTGGGGCGGCAATGGAGGAAAAGCAACATGAAAACAATGTCGGCGATATACCAGAAAGTGCGCCATCGCCTCAACGACGACTGGGCATATGGAAACGGTGAGTAGGGGAAGAAACCGGACTGGGATCTTCACTAAACAATTTGATGCGTCATTATTAAACCTGAAATTTTAGTACCACCCGGGTGTCAGAGTTAAACGTGTTCTCTGTTTCTGACAGCAGACCTGGACGCTCGCCCGTGGGATTTCCAGGCGGAAGAATGCGCCCTACGTGCCAACATCGAACGGTTCAACAGCCGACGCTATGACAAGAACCAGAGCAACCCAGAATTCCTCCCGGTGGACAACTGCCTCCAAAGTGTGCTGGGACAGCGGATCGACCTTCCGGAAGACTTCCAAATGAACTATGACCTCTGGCTGGAGCGTGAGGTATTTTCCAAACCCATTTCCTGGGAAGAGCTCCTGCAGTGAACACCTGTTGTGTTTCAGCACCTGTTCACTACAGCAGCTGTGAAAATGACCATTACCACAGTAAAACTTTTCCGACAACACTACGCTTCATAGATTCAACAACCGGGACCATTTCCTGTGTGTCTGTTTATATAACGTAACGGCTCGCTTGTAGTTAACTTGCGCGTTATTATTATTTTTTTAACTCTTAGAAAGGGAACTTTGACAGATGTGCTAAGAGGTTTTTGTTTGTTTTTGCTGCTTTTGATTATTGATTCTCCATAACTGAATATTAAATCTGATCTTATTGTGAAAGACTGTATTTATCCTGGAGTGTATTGATGTGTTTTTCATTGGCTCTGTATACAATACTCAATGCAATACAACAATCTTCTCTGTGAACCATTGTTGTTTTTGTCATTCATTTTAACCCTAAAACAAGCAACGTGTCTCAGGAGATGCATCGTTTTTATTGTCTTTTTGGGGGCATAAGAATGATTTTTACTTACGGCAGCCTTGTGTGAAAATGCTCAATACGCAACATGACATCATTTGCGTAAACATATACGCCACTTTCGAGTCAGGTGGCGTGTTATCTCCACGCATTTTGTGCTATCAGCGTGTATGCGTATATGTCTACGCCATTAACGTCCGCGTCATTCCGCGTGTCTGAACACGCAGTCAAATCTCCAGTCATAAATGCCATTAACCCCAGTGACGGTTAAGTTTAGGGATGGGGTTGACGTAAGTCATATCTTTTTTTTTTACCTTCGATGGTAAGGGAACAGTCATGAATGCCATTAACCCCAGTGACGGTTAAGTTTAGGGATTGGGTTGTTGTAAGTCATATCTTTTTTTTTACCTAGGATGGTAAGGGAACAGTCATAAATGCCATTAACCCCAGTGACGGTTAGGTTTAGGGACGGGGTTGAGGTAAGTCATATATTTATATAACGTTAAGTCAACGGCGTTCATAAACACGCTGAAAGGCGATTATGCGTCTTGATAGCACGCCAAAAATGGAAATACGAATTGGCGTATCATACACGCGCTACTTCATGAGATCAGTCTGCAATACGTCATATTAAAACAAAATAGATACGTAGCTAAATTGTCATTTTGTTGTGACAGAACTGATGCTGGCTGCTTTCAAGTTCACTTGGGAAATTTGTACATCTAAGTCATCGAAGTCTTTTTAGAATGTCGTCGAAAATTGTTCATTGGTTTTACCTTTTCTGTTCGTGGAGTAAGTAGTTACATATTGCTGTCATCTGACGACTATCGCTTATGAGATTCTCTGAAATGTGAAAAAGATCTATCGATCTTCCATTGAAGATAAAACACTAGTGCTGGTAATTAGAGCCCGAACGATAAAGGATTTTGAAGGCCGATACCGATACAAATATTTGTTGATTTTAAAATCCGATATTCCGATATATCTGCCGATATTATTATTTTTTATTTCAGAAACGCGCAACAAAATATTAACAGATTTCCCTAACATTAGTTATTTGTAGTTAATTATGAGTTTTAACTAAACTAATATGATAATGCATAACTGGTTCTCTCTGCCCGACTCTGGCTGGATCAGTAGGTTGCTGGATGTGTGGTTCGTTATACACGAGTGTTGCCAACAGGGACGGTGTACAGTGTCCTCTGGTGGACAAACTATACAACTCCAACACTCATGACATGGTTGAAGCGTGATTCGTCCGATTTTATTTAATTTTTGAAGTATTCATTTAATCGGCCATTATAACTGCCGATACTGATATTTTAGAAAATGCCTAATATCGGCCGATAATATCGGCCTGCCGATAATATCGGTCTGGCTCTACTGGTAATGCATGGTTTTCTATATGAAATAATGTTAGCACTTCTTTAGACTTTCTCCCTATTGAAAAAATATATTAAAAAACAATCAGCTCGGGAACAAAATTATCCACAGGCAAACCTAGAAACAATTTACCTACAAACCTATTTCCAACTTTAAAATGTGAGCTGATATTCCTTAACTTTGACTTTTAAAACCTTATTAGTAGAGCCAGACCGATATATATCGATTGAATGAGTATTTAAAAAATAAAATAAAAACGGACGAAACACGCTTCAGTCATCTCTCCTTGGCCTGTTATAATGAAAATGTATGTTTTACAACTTGCAGTATGATGTTATCTATTGCTAAATTATGGCTCATCATAGACTAGCTAACCACAAAGCAAGCTAATGCCACTATCATCAGTGGAAGACCGCTAACGTTAACATTAATGAGCTTGGAAACCACAATGAACTTTTTCTAAATAAAGTAATGATTACTGTATTTATAACTAGCATATCTCTAGTTACAGTCCCTGCATTGTGAAATGTAAGTTATACGTTGCGAGGAGTGAACATTTAGACATAGAGAAAAACTATCAAATGTATCTTGTGCAGAAAAGTTAGCTTTTCTTTTACACGTGTGTGAAATCCAACAATATTTAATAATAAAAAAAAAAAACGGCCGATATATCGGATTTTAAAACCCAAAAATATTTGTATCGTATCAGCCATCAAAATCCTTTATCGGTCGGGCTCTACTTATTACCTTTTGTTTTACTTGCTCTGAAATGAGACATTTGTACCAGTTGCCCTGTGACATTTTAAATGATCCCGAACATGAAAGATATTGTGTGGTAATCATTCACATTAAACTATACATTTTCTTGGGTGGTTTCAGCATGTGAGAGGGGGAGTGTGGAAGAGGGGGAGAGATGTGTTCTGAGTCACTTCAAGCATTTCCTAATTTCTCAATTCTGACATGAACTTTTATGTGGTTGTTAAGGCAAAAATTCAATAAACAGACATCACTGCGTAAGAGACAATTTAATAAAAGGAAAAGAGGTTTATTATTCTTGCAAGAACAATAAGGCTCAGTCACCAACACAGATTACTGCGAAGTGAATGACGCCCAGAACACAGGCCGGAGTCTGTCTATAAAGCTCTCCCAAGGTTATTTACTACAAGCCATTTTACAGAGAAATTCCACAAGCCATAGGACTCACATGCTGGGTTAGATTTACCGCTCAACCCCTCTTTTCTCCCCAGTCTAAGATGACCTCTGACCCGGCCGGTTCTCTGGTGCCTCACTCCACTCTTGATAAAGAAAAGACAAATTACCTCATTTACAGATAGCAAAACCATAAGACATTCCTCCGTTATTACATATAGGAGGTGAACAGATAAAAACATAAGACCCAATAATCATGCGTAATACATGTGAGATTAACATTTTCCCAACAGGTTCTTCTGGGATACTGCAACAAAAAGTACCGTCTTTGTCCAGAATGACAATGTGAGTTCTTACATGTGTGGCATGCCTCTTTTGTGTTTTTTCCTGTGAACATTAAGGCATCCTTTTCGTATGAACTTTCCCACACTGATCACACTTGTGTGGTTTCTCTCCAGTGTGGATCCACTCATGTTGTTTCATTGATGTTGACAGATGGAATCTCTTGTCGCAGTGTAAACACTTGTAAGGTTTTTCTCCAGTGTGAATTCTCTGGTGCAGTTTCACTGCGTGATCTGTAACAAAAGTCTTCCCACAATCAAAGCACACGTAATTCTTCACACCGCTGTGTCTTTTCTGGTGTACTTTTAATTCACTCAGCTGACTAAAACCCTTTCCACACAAAGAACACGCGTGAGGCTTCTCCTTATTGTGAACTATCAAGTGGTTCTTCAGGGAAAGCGATGAAAAAAATGCTTTTCCACATTGATCACAGTTAAATGCTCTTTCTCCAGAGTGAGAAAGCAGATGTGATTTAAAATTGACGGCCTGTGTGAAACTCTTCCCACACTGATCACACGTGTACAGCTTCTCTCCAGTGTGGATTCTCATGTGATACTCAAGGTTTCTTCTGTGTATGTAACTCTTCCCACACTGATCACAAGTGTGCGGCCTCTCTCCAGTGTGGATTTTAATGTGATAATTAAGTTGATGTTTTTGTCTGAAACTCTTCCCGCACTGATCACATGTGTACGGCTTCTCTCCGGTGTGGATTTTAATGTGTTCATTAAGTTGCTGTTTTTGTCCGAAACTCTTCCCGCACTGATCACATGTGTGCCCCTCTCCAGTGTGGATTTTAATGTGATCATTAAGGTCCTGTTTTCGTCTGAAACTCTTCCCGCACTGATCACATGTGTGCGGTTTCTCTCCAGTGTGGATTCTAATGTGATCATTAAGGTGCTCTTTTCGTGTGAATCTCTTCCCACACTGATCACATGTGTGCCTCTCTCCAGTGTGGATCTTTGTGTGTTTATTAAGGTTTCCTCTTCGTGTGAAACTCTTCCCGCACTGATCACATGTGTACAAATTCTCTCCAGTGTGGATCTTCATGTGAATTTGAAGACTTTTGTTGTTTGACAATCTCTTTCCACAATGTAGGCAAGAATTTTTGTCTCTCCTCAAAGATTTTTCTCCAGTTTTGACATGATGATGTTTCTCCTCTCCTTTGCTCAGTTTTTCAATCTCCTTGTTCCGTTCCATTAAGTCTGAAATAATAATGGTGGTTTAATTGTGTCTTTTCAAGGAAATGACTTCAGAGATCTTTGAGTTTATCAATCAGACGAAGCCCTTCAGCAGAACAACGCCTCTAGAAAGTATCCAGCTAACATATATAGCCTACATACTTCCTTGTACCAAATATGGCAATGCATTCTATTGGTTATTTTGAGAAATAGTTTGTACCATGTGACTTTCTTGAAATAGCATTCTCTGACTTCTGGGGACTTGAAGGCTGATGCAACAGACCAAAGTCACTCACAGAGGAAATGATAGTACACAAATATGTAGCTAAATTACTTATTATCTGAATAATAAAATCTTCAACAATATCCTTAAAAAAATAATAATGAGGAAGTGAAGACTAACATAATACCAGAACACAACAACAATACAATGGTACGATGAATTCTGAATTGTCATTGGAACTTTCCATGAATTGGGCACATTTATTTTAAAGTTCTTATTTTAATAAATAAACTATTGGCACAAATCCCATGTTTCCAACACAATCTCTCAGATATATTAGTTTTAACAAAAAAGCTTTTACACAAACTGTTGTTTTTTTTTAAATGCATTTATCAAACCTGTTACCAAAATTTCAGAAAAATAACCTATAATTACTATAACTTGTAAATTGAAGCAATAGAAAAACATTTACCAGTTAAATTAGGTTTTGATTAACTTACACATTCAAAACTTTAGTAACACTGTTGCAAAAATTCTGAACCAGATATCAAATAAATGTAAATAAAATAGCTCAGATAATATTTAGAAAAAAGAAACTTTACACTGATCTCGACAAATCGCTGACATTTAAAAAAATGATTGTATTCATCTGAAAGAGGAATGTCATGTACACCTAGGATGGCTTCAGGGTGAGTAGCCTATTATCGTGGACTAATTTTAATTTAATTATTAAATTGTCTTAGTCGATCGTCGGGAGAACTTAAAATTACAAACTCAAAATTTCGACAAAAAAAATCAAAGGGGTACCTCTGTTGACTTTTTCGGTGCAAAAAAAGTTTCTCTGATCTTCTTGGAACTCTGGATTCTGATAGAGGGCCATGAGACTTAGACCTGAGTGCAAAAATGGAGTCTCTAGATCCTTCCAGAGCTGAGATATCGAAACTCAAAGTTTCGACCCGAAAAAAAAACGACAGTGTTACCCCTTACGTTTTTTTTTTTTGGGCGAAAAATCAAGTATCCCCAATCTTCTCGAAACTCTGGATTCTGATAGAGGGCACTGAGACTTGCACCTGAGCGCAAAAATGGAGGCTCTAGACCCTTCCAGAGCTGAGATATCGAAACTCAAAGTTTCGACCCGAAAAAAAAACGACAGTGTTACCCCTTACGTTTTTTTTTTTGGGCGAAAAATCAAGTATCCCCAATCTTCTCGAAACTCTGGATTCTGATAGAGGGCACTGAGACTTGCACCTGAGCGCAAAAATGGAGGCTCTAGACCCTTCCAGAGCTGAGATATCGAAACTCAAAGTTTCGACCCGAAAAAAAAACGACAGTGTTACCCCTTACGTTTTTTTTTTTGGGCGAAAAATCAAGTATCCCCAATCTTCTCGAAACTCTGGATTCTGATAGAGGGCACTGAGACTTGCACCTGAGCGCAAAAATGGAGGCTCTAGACCCTTCCAGAGCTGAGATATCGAAACTCAAAATTTCGACCCGAAAAAAAAACGACAGTGTTACCCCTTACGTTTTTTTTTTTTGGGCGAAAAATCAAGTATCCCCAATCTTCTCGAAACTCTGGATTCTGATAGAGGGCACTGAGACTTGCACCTGAGCGCAAAAATGGAGGCTCTAGACCCTTCCAGAGCTGAGATATCGAAACTCAAAGTTTCGACCCGAAAAAAAAACGACAGTGTTACCCCTTACGTTTTTTTTTTTTGGGCGAAAAATCAAGTATCCCCAATCTTCTCGAAACTCTGGATTCTGATAGAGGGCACTGAGACTTGCACCTGAGCGCAAAAATGGAGGCTCTAGACCCTTCCAGAGCTGAGATATCGAAACTCAAAATTTCGACCCGAAAAAAAAACGACAGTGTTACCCCTTACGTTTTTTTTTTTGGGCGAAAAATCAAGTATCCCCAATCTTCTCGAAACTCTGGATTCTGATAGAGGGCACTGAGACTTGCACCTGAGCGCAAAAATGGAGGCTCTAGACCCTTCCAGAGCTGAGATATCGAAACTCAAAATTTCGACCCGAAAAAAAAACGACAGTGTTACCCCTTACGTTTTTTTTTTTGGGCGAAAAATCAAGTATCCCCAATCTTCTCGAAACTCTGGATTCTGATAGAGGGCACTGAGACTTGCACCTGAGCGCAAAAATGGAGGCTCTAGACCCTTCCAGAGCTGAGATATCGAAACTCAAAATTTCGACCCGAAAAAAAAACGACAGTGTTACCCCTTACGTTTTTTTTTTTTGGGCGAAAAATCAAGTATCCCCAATCTTCTCGAAACTCTGGATTCTGATAGAGGGCACTGAGACTTGCACCTGAGCGCAAAAATGGAGGCTCTAGACCCTTCCAGAGCTGAGATATCGAAACTCAAAATTTCGACCCGAAAAAAAAACGACAGTGTTACCCCTTACGTTTTTTTTTTTTGGGCGAAAAATCAAGTATCCCCAATCTTCTCGAAACTCTGGATTCTGATAGAGGGCACTGAGACTTGCACCTGAGCGCAAAAATGGAGGCTCTAGACCCTTCCAGAGCTGAGATATCGAAACTCAAAATTTCGACCCGAAAAAAAAACGACAGTGTTACCCCTTACGTTTTTTTTTTTGGGCGAAAAATCAAGTATCCCCAATCTTCTCGAAACTCTGGATTCTGATAGAGGGCACTGAGACTTGCACCTGAGCGCAAAAATGGAGGCTCTAGACCCTTCCAGAGCTGAGATATCGAAACTCAAAATTTCGACCCGAAAAAAAAACGACAGTGTTACCCCTTACGTTTTTTTTTTTGGGCGAAAAATCAAGTATCCCCAATCTTCTCGAAACTCTGGATTCTGATAGAGGGCACTGAGACTTGCACCTGAGCGCAAAAATGGAGGCTCTAGACCCTTCCAGAGCTGAGATATCGAAACTCAAAATTTCGACCCGAAAAAAAAACGACAGTGTTACCCCTTACGTTTTTTTTTTTTGGGCGAAAAATCAAGTATCCCCAATCTTCTCGAAACTCTGGATTCTGATAGAGGGCACTGAGACTTGCACCTGAGCGCAAAAATGGAGGCTCTAGACCCTTCCAGAGCTGAGATATCGAAACTCAAAATTTCGACCCGAAAAAAAAACGACAGTGTTACCCCTTACGTTTTTTTTTTTTGGGCGAAAAATCAAGTATCCCCAATCTTCTCGAAACTCTGGATTCTGATAGAGGGCACTGAGACTTGCACCTGAGCGCAAAAATGGAGGCTCTAGACCCTTCCAGAGCTGAGATATCGAAACTCAAAATTTCGACCCGAAAAAAAAACGACAGTGTTACCCCTTACGTTTTTTTTTTTGGGCGAAAAATCAAGTATCCCCAATCTTCTCGAAACTCTGGATTCTGATAGAGGGCACTGAGACTTGCACCTGAGCGCAAAAATGGAGGCTCTAGACCCTTCCAGAGCTGAGATATCGAAACTCAAAATTTCGACCCGAAAAAAAAACGACAGTGTTACCCCTTACGTTTTTTTTTTTTGGGCGAAAAATCAAGTATCCCCAATCTTCTCGAAACTCTGGATTCTGATAGAGGGCACTGAGACTTGCACCTGAGCGCAAAAATGGAGGCTCTAGACCCTTCCAGAGCTGAGATATCGAAACTCAAAATTTCGACCCGAAAAAAAAACGACAGTGTTACCCCTTACGTTTTTTTTTTTGGGCGAAAAATCAAGTATCCCCAATCTTCTCGAAACTCTGGATTCTGATAGAGGGCACTGAGACTTGCACCTGAGCGCAAAAATGGAGGCTCTAGACCCTTCCAGAGCTGAGATATCGAAACTCAAAATTTCGACCCGAAAAAAAAACGACAGTGTTACCCCTTACGTTTTTTTTTTTTGGGCGAAAAATCAAGTATCCCCAATCTTCTCGAAACTCTGGATTCTGATAGAGGGCACTGAGACTTGCACCTGAGCGCAAAAATGGAGGCTCTAGACCCTTCCAGAGCTGAGATATCGAAACTCAAAATTTCGACCCGAAAAAAAAACGACAGTGTTACCCCTTACGTTTTTTTTTTTGGGCGAAAAATCAAGTATCCCCAATCTTCTCGAAACTCTGGATTCTGATAGAGGGCACTGAGACTTGCACCTGAGCGCAAAAATGGAGGCTCTAGACCCTTCCAGAGCTGAGATATCGAAACTCAAAATTTCGACCCGAAAAAAAAACGACAGTGTTACCCCTTACGTTTTTTTTTTTTGGGCGAAAAATCAAGTATCCCCAATCTTCTCGAAACTCTGGATTCTGATAGAGGGCACTGAGACTTACACCTGAGCGCAAAAATGGAGGCTCTAGACCCTTCCAGAGCTGAGATATCGAAACTCAAAATTTCGACCCGAAAAAAAAACGACAGTGTTACCCCTTACGTTTTTTTTTTTGGGCGAAAAATCAAGTATCCCCAATCTTCTCGAAACTCTGGATTCTGATAGAGGGCACTGAGACTTACACCTGAGCGCAAAAATGGAGGCTCTAGACCCTTCCAGAGCTGAGATATCGAAACTCAAAATTTCGACCCGAAAAAAAAACGACAGTGTTACCCCTTACGTTTTTTTTTTTTGGCGAAAAATCAAGTATCCCCAATCTTCTCGAAACTCTGGATTCTGATAGAGGGCACTGAGACTTACACCTGAGCGCAAAAATGGAGGCTCTAGACCCTTCCAGAGCTGAGATATCGAAACTCAAAATTTCGACCCGAAAAAAAAACGACAGTGTTACCCCTTACGTTTTTTTTTTTTGGGCGAAAAATCAAGTATCCCCAATCTTCTCGAAACTCTGGATTCTGATAGAGGGCACTGAGACTTACACCTGAGCGCAAAAATGGAGGCTCTAGACCCTTCCAGAGCTGAGATATCGAAACTCAAAATTTCGACCCGAAAAAAAAACGACAGTGTTACCCCTTACGTTT